TTACACAGCGGTCAGCGATACTCAACAGCGGCGTCTGTGCGAAAAGCCGCAGATCGGATCAAAGTATCACCTTGAGCTGTCTCCGCATCAATGTTATTTACAAGCTTCCGGCGATTCGTTGCATTTGCATCCGTGTCGAATCCTGAGATCTATTTGCTGGTATTGTGACGAACTGCGCTGCTCGCACATTACGTAGATCTTAGTGCAGCTGTTTGTCTCGGCACGTGGGCGAACTCGAATCATCGGCGTTTCGCCACGACCTTTTTCTTGAGAAGAAAAATTGGGATTCAGCTGTAGCCTAGTTGGTCTGTAGACCTCACTAAGTGCGCCGTCGGAACAATAGACATTTTTCTTTGAATAATTGGCCGATTTGCTGATTATTCACCTAAGAGCGGTTACCCAACTAAAAAAGAATGATGGGAAGGTGTTGTGGAAAATTTCTTCGGGAATTGGCGAAATTTACTGAAATATGTTCTAAAATTTGTTAAAAGTGTTAGTTAAGCATTTTTAAGAAGCCGTGAATCATGCTAAAAACCTAGAAAAAACAAGGTTTTTCAAGTTTTCTTAGGGGAGGAAAAAAGTTTAGAGTTCTTAAATGTAAACAGCAAACAGCAATTTATCTAAGAGTTTCATGTATTTTTTACAGTATTGACTTTGACCCTTGAATCAATTCAATAAGTCTTAGGATTAATGGCGGCATATTATCTTGAACAGCGTGCATACATAAGCAAGAAACAGAGCATACTTCGCTTTTTTTCCCAAACTCTGCAGGAAACCAGGAAGTTTGACATCTCTACAATATTCAACAACAGGGCGCTCGCCTCCACATCATTGCCCAAATAACATTGCTGTGTTGTTTTCAATGGGATTTGGCTGAAGGTTTTATACGCCTGAACATTGGAATCAGTTCCATTAGCTATTTTAATCTCGTGTATACTGCCAAATTAAGCTAGTCCTGCGCGGAAATTCGATTGCTGCGAAGATGTGCGCACAACGTTCAGTGGACGTCAAGATCCGTTGAGTTTTAGCGAAAAGAACATGCTGGGGAAAAGCTAGCCATGTTTCTTGGAGGACTTCCGATAGAGACAGAATCTCAGGGTATATACACCTGCTATCTCTTTGTTTTCTAGGTTTCCTATGGCGCCAGCTCACCTGCACTTTCAAATAGGGAAAGATTTCCGACATTATTTCGAACTCACCCTACTGCCAATATGCAAAATCCTACGAGGTTGGCAAAGCTTATTTTCTTATCCCAAAGACTGACAACTGCCCTGTAAAATTTTTTTTAGAATGCGGCTATTTGAAAAATTCCGCTGGAAAAAAGTAA